TTCGAACCTCTGACCGAACTACCAAAGTTCAGCCCCTTTATCGCTCGGCCGCTAGTGAACCCGGTCAACGTTGTATTTCATCTGAAACACATATACATAAGTATAATGTGTAAAACGATTTGAAAAAGATGAATTGAGGAAAGGAATGTGAATTGTGCCAGGTTATTAAGACATCCAGACGGACGTCAGCACGTATGAAGAGACGCATAGCTTGAAGTCATACCACCCTTTACGAAGATTCACATTGAAGCAAAGCCATCAACTTCCAAGACCGCAGTTTACAGTGGTGTTGAGGCATAACCTTTTGGATGATTGAATGGTGCAGGGTAGTGCACAGCGATGAGTCTCGCTTCTATTTGCCTTCTATTTGCAAATACGATTCTGGAGGCAGCATGGAGCCAATGTTACCTCATTCGAAAAGATTTGGCTTAAAAAATCGAAGGTCAACTCATGTGGACGACGTCCTGCCTTACCGTCCAGACTATGTCCGAGGATAAAATGGGCATCGATGGAATACTAAACGTAAACATCCCGCTTGGAAGCGACGCTTACCATCACACGGCATATGTAACGAATACTGCCGACCTTCGCACACGCGGATTACATTCTACGGAAATGCACTTTTCTCCGTGGACTTTAAAAATATCAGACTCCATTCTACCTCATATAACTCTATTCATAACCCTATTCGGAATTAATGAATCCTATCACAGTTCATATCATCAAAACGATATCACAGTACCAACAAGAACATAATTTTTACTTCCTGAATTCATAGCCGAAAACGAAAATTTCCGGCACGGTGTAATGGAATATCCCAAGAACTGTAACCCCCCTGCGATGAGTACTTCTAGCCTAAGCACATATCAACTTAGGACAGTTATCCCGGTGAAAGTTGCCATTGTAACCGGTAAGGTGAAAGTGATTAACGAAAGGTGAAGTTGTTGCAATATCCAGTCATGATGGTTTACATGGTCCGGTACTCTGGAGACCTGCGTTAAACAAAAAGTAACCTTCCAGAATCCGATTGTTAAATAAAAAAAGGTAGAAAACCTCCTAGAGGATATGCAAGAAAGCTCCGTCCTCGAGCCATCAGCAAGTCCTGGGGCTTCTTCCTTCGTCCTGGTCAGAAAGAAAGATGATTCAACTAGATTTTGCGTTGGTTATCGCCGGTTGAACGAGGATATGAAGAATGGCAGCTAACATCTTCTTAAAACTGACGATATTCTGGAAGTAAGCGGTTTTCGAAGCTTGATTTAGAGAGTGGATAGTAGCAGGTCGAGTTACACGCTGGTGACCGAGAAAAGACGGATTTTACTACCGGACAATAATTGTGGTAATTTAAGATGATGCCGTGTGTGGATTATATAATGTGCCGGTAACATATGAATGCCTCATGGATGCCGTATGAACAGGTCTTTTCTACGAAGCCTATCTAGTAACATCATCATCGTCAAGAAGAGTTTCGAAGAAAAATTAGAAAATATAAGAAAGATACTTCAGAAATTGGAAGAACCAAATCTAAAATTAAGTCCATCCATATGTAAATGGTTCAGACAGGACCTTGAACATATTTTCTGTACCGAAGGTGGCGGTACAAATCCAGAAAAAATGTCATGAGCTAAAGACTGGTGACGCCCCGAAAATATCCATCAGCTAAAAGGTTTCCTGGTGCTTTGCACCTACTGTAGGAGATTTTTTAGGGACTTTTCTTCTATCGCAAGATCCCCTTCACAAGCTGACTGAGAGTAAGCAGCAAGAGTTCTCGTGGACGAAAGAATGTGAGGATGTATTTAACAACCTTAAGAAAGTATTAATATCTACAACAATCTTGACGCATCCTCAGCTCGATAACCACTTATTCTTGACACGGTTGCGAGCAGTGGCTGCATCGTTGACCTGGCTATTAAATTTCAAGAACCCATTAAGGCCATATAGTCAGATGGATACAGAGACTCTAAAAATATGACATAACTATTTGTCATAGGAAAGGATAATTATATGGAAACGCTGACGTTCTACCTAGATGACCCTGTCCAGTAAGCTGCCTATATTATTCCAGAATCGAAGTGAAATAAGAGTTACTTAATCCGGTCGCTCAAGAAGTTACATCTTCAACATCTGCTGATCGAGACCCATGAACTACGAAAAGTTAACAAATACCAATTGAAGATGCCGACATTAAACATATAGTTGACATATTGGAATCTTCAAATGGAAAACCTACCTGGCAGGACGTTTTGTTCTGTAGTCCTACGACAATACTCTCTGGGACTCACTACATATTCGAAACGGCGTTTTGTACCGGAAGTTCGAATCGGATGATGGAGAGGCATTCCGATGGCAGCTGATGCTTCCAAGATCCCGGAATCCGGACGTCCTTAGAGAATTACATATCAGTCCAACAGGAGGCCACTTCGGAATAATGAAGACTGCATAAAGTTCGAGAACGCTTTTACTGGAGTAATGCAAGGGATGATATGCAAAAGTGGTTCCCATCAAGCGATAATTGTGTGAGTTGGAAAGCACCGAAGAAACGCAGCCGAGGAATCTGCAACGTTAAAATATAGGAACGACTTTTGAAGGTATCGGCTTTGACATCTTAGGACCTCTGCCGCATACTTTTAATTGCAAAAAATACGTCCTCGTTTTCATTGTTTACTTCACCGTGTGGCCTGAATCGTATCCTATACCTAATCAAGGGGCTGTCACGGTAGCAGAGGTAATGACACAGCAATGGATTTCCAGGCTCGGATTGTCACTTCAGTTACATTCCCAACAAGGAAGAAATGTTATATCGGCTGTAATTAAAGTACTCTAAAACTATTCGGCATTTACAAAACCCAAACGACAATTTTACATCGGCACTTTGATGGCATGACACAGAGATTTAATTGAACCGCCCATAACAACCTCTCGCTTATGGTTTCGAGAAACCAACAAGGTTGGGACCAGAAGTTGCCTCTGTTCTTACAGGCCTATCTTAGTGCTGTCCACGAGACTTCTGGCTATTCCCCAACGCAGATTCTCTTCGGTCGTTACCTCCGTCTGCCTTGTGATGCTTTACTTGGTCGCCCTTCGGATGCGGCTTGATCGACTGAGGTGTATATCCAGGATCTCTAGACACGGTTTTAAGTGATGCACATCTTTGCACGACAGTGAGTCAGCTTTGCGACGGAGAAGATGAAAACCCGATAGAACACGAGAGCTACAGGACATTGATTCAACGAACGTGACAATGTGTGGTTATGGAATCCTATTCGACGGAAAGGATTTCCTCCTAAACAACAGTCAACCTGGGACCGTCCTTACGCAGTGCTAAACAGGCTGAACGATTTATGGGTATGAGCTCTAGTTTGGATACGTAAGTCATCAAACCTTAAGCCTAAAATTTTTCACTACGACAGGCTGGATCCTTGTTATGGCCATATTACGTTGTCCCCATAGTGTATGTAATGTGAATAGTATGCTAGGACCATGCTCCTATTTGCATATGAATTTGTAAATGTATGTATTTATTGGTTTAGCATTTGATTTATTTTATATTATGCATTTCAATTATTGTTTAAGTATTGCATTGACTTATCTTATTGTAAGGATGGTTTTCCCTCCAGGGACTGTACTGCCCGGGACGTGTAGTCCTTGGGAGGGGGGTAATGTTACGAATTTTGTACATACATAGATGATTTTAGGGCATTATAGTGAAATTGTTGCATTTTTCTTTGTATCGTAGCATGAAAATCTAGAGAGACGATGCTATGCCCGAAAAGTAAGAACACAGGGGAAGGCCATTTAACATTGAGTAAATTGCTAACTCGCTAATCTGGGAGATGTTTCCAAGCTGGCAACGGTTTGCGTGACTAATTGTTTTGCCAAATTTATCGAGAAATAGTGAAAAGTTGCCAAACATGGCGACATTTTGGTCCAGTCCCTGTATCACCATAATACGTATTGATATTGAATAGCTCTATGATTTCTTATATTACTGTAACCGTGTCTGGCCCTCATATGTATTCCAATAATTTCGAGAAGACCTAAAAATATCTCGGCGGCCAGGTGAAAACTGGTGTATAAGACCGGAGAGTGCATCTACTTTCAGTTGTGTATTCAGAGTATTAAGCTATTATCGTGTTAGTTTCTCTCTTTAGATGCGTTTTGCATTGCGTTATGTTTAATATTCTTAGTAGTTTGTATTGTAACTACTGACTGTACTCTGTGATACTGTGAAGAGTTGTTCGACAGTTTTTGTGGAAAGTTTCAGACTGTGATTTGTCTCTTTCGATAAAATAAATTTCATCATACTACCAAAGTTTTCTGTGCATTGAACCTTTACGAACCCGTATGCACGCAGCAATACATATACTGTTTGAAAATATCAGTCAATTTCTTCATATGCATTTATTTCTTTTGTCAATTGAAAATTAGTAATGTAAACAGTTTGAAGGGTAAAAAATATGAGCTGTCAATTTATTGACGATATCTTTTTTAAAATACTCTTTTAATTGTTAATTTTTTTTCTATTATTGATATTATTTAGAACACTTTTAATTCATATTTCGACACTTATAACGTTTCGCAGTTGAATACAGTCAAATTCTTTTAAGCAGCTACTGAAATGATCCTTCTGGAACGGTTTTTAATAGTACAGATTTACAAAATCGAGATAACATGGACTATCTATTACGGAGGAAAATTTTTGTTGCTTATTTAACCTGTTTCTAGTTCCAGTGTTACGCTTTAAACAAGAAAAAGGTAACATTTAAGGAAATGGCGTTAATCTTAAATTTTAATGGGGTGTGCAATAAAACTAGTATATTATTTCTGACTCTTAGACAGCAATGAAAAGGTAACTCTAGAAATAAAAGGAGGTATAATACACAATTTGCAAGACAAAATGTTGAGCACAGAATAGGCGAAAATTGCCGATTTGAGTAAGAGAAAATACTATCAATACATCTAAATAACTGGAAAGAATATCAAAGGATATTTAAAAAACATACCTGTAACGTTTCAGTGGCCAGTGTTGTCCAGTTATGCTCGGACAGCACATTGCTTTTCGATGTAAGTGCCCAAAGATTTATAACGACATTTTCTCTTTCTTTCAACATGAGTTGCCGCTTAGTTTTCTCATGTCCAGCTTCGAGAGCTTCGAATGTGAAAGCTCCGATGATACTATAGCCTACTACAAGCGCACAGAGGCCAATGTGTGAGAACAAGAAAGTTGCAATGAGGCGACAGTATCTTCGACATTTGGAGCACTTCGAAACACCACTGGAATGACCGGGCATTTCTCAGCCTTTAAATTAGTTTGCTATCAGATTTTTTCATTGAAGCAGGAATGTGAGGAACAAAATATCTAGCTTTGCTGATGAAAAGTAGATGCCAAGAAGTTTTGTAAATCTTTTGAACCCTAAACAAACAAACAAAAAAAAAATGTAAAACAATGGAGGGGAATAAAGACAATAAATAGCATCATAATAAAACTTTTTTAAGCATTCTAACAAATCAAATCGTAAGTGAAGCATGCCTATGTAAAATTTTAAATTAGGCAGAAAACAACATTAAAATTGGTGCAGATTTTTAATTAAGCTCTATCGATATCAGGGGTGATCAAATGTAAGGTCCTCTATTTCAAGACAGAAAAAACCTAAGACACCTAAAGTATTAGGATTTTGAAAGCACTGAAAAAAGAAGAAGAAAGATTTAATTAGAAAGAAAGAAAGAAATTTTAATTAAACTTTAATTGGGATTTTAATGTCATTAATTAAGGAAAAATAATTTTTTGTGTATGTGAAAGTCTTCAAAGAAGTACATTTCATGAAACTGGGCGATTAATTTTCTCAGAATCAAAGTCAAAATTTTGATTAAGAACCCAATTATGATTAACTTTGGCAGTTAGGTTACGGGGTTCAAATCTTGGCGAACGGGCTGGCTGTATCGCCGCTTCGCTGGTTTTTCCATGTATAACGTAGATACAAGCCAGGTTCTCTTGAAGTGCTCCACGCGGCATCCTTCCCTATAGAGAAAACCATAGTATGAGTCGCCGTGATTGAAAAAAAAAATAATAATAACTCATCATTAAATATGTAAGATTTGTTAGTTTTTCTTAAAACAGAACATTCGTGTTCCTGGATACGAAATTTTAACGCATTTTTAATCTGGACATCTTACGTCAAACCACACTGATAAGATATGCTATAACGTCCCAAGAATTAAAATTAGAGATGGGATCTTTAAGAATTTTTGTGATAGGTGAGAAAATAACTTGAAATTGGAATTTTTGGAGACACCGAACAATTATGTAATTTATAAAAGGGTAAAATGGTATGAACTAATATTATTGTGGTTATTTCTAATGATGGAATGTTTCTTATGATAACAAGAGGAAATGACGATAAAAGAAAATGTTGTGTCAATGGAAACAGATTTCAAGCAATTAAATTTCTGAAAAAATAAATTCGTGGTTCGAATCCTAGAGGAGACACATCTGATTTTTCAGAATTTTCAGCTCTGAAAAACCTAATAGTTTGTGTGGGGACGATTGAAATAAAATATGGTGAACAATAAATCGCCACCACCTGGATCTGGTTTAGACAGTCACCCTTTAAATGGGGAAAACATGAAATTATCGCCTTTTCGGCAGATTACACCACGAGGGTTCTATGGTTAAGCAACGTATATCGCAAAACTTTGTCCTTGGGAAAATTTAATCCCAATTTGGCAGTTCCCAAATGGTCCGGAAAGGAACAAAACTAATCTAACTTCAGCCTAAAATGCTTCGCTTACAAAGATAAAGAAACAATAAAGATGTAAATAAACAAACACTTTCAGAATTATATTATAACTTTACCCTAACCCGATTTCTTCAATTTGCCTACAAATTTGGAAACCATTCTTAACGAAATGAAATGCTAAATATTGCGACAGACGCAGTCTTGTTCTCCTTGCGGCACAGATTTGCAACTATGATAGGCCGCCCAGCCGAATAGTGGTTGATGATTTTGACTACTGTATCAAAGGGTCCAGATTCGAATCCCAAAGAAGACATGGATGTTGTAAATGTAAACAGATTTTGCGGCATGGAGGAAATCTAAATATATGGAGAGCCGAAAATCATCTCGTGTGGTTTGGTGGTAGAAGAGAGTGGGAGATCCTTCGACCCCCCCAAATGCTCTCTCTCTCTAAACAGGGGTGGAAGAGTAAAATCGTACTGCTACCTATATGGTGCCCAAGGCTATTGCAACGACACACACAGTCTTGTACTCTTTGGGTCGATAAAATTCGTGGGCTTCTTCTGATTAGGTCAGACAAGTGAGATGAGGCACAACTCAACAACTGTGATGTCAATGACTCTATTAAAAGCAAAAACCTAAATATATGTTTAAATGCTACTATATCTACCTAATTACTACATTACTATTATTCTTCTTTTAAAAAAATCATATAAACACATATGTATATGTAAAAATGTAGAAACATTGATTTCACAGATACTGGTGCATAAGAAACAGCAACTTGGCAGTTGAGGCAGATTCAATATTAATTTTTATTTCAGTTGGTGCATTTGTAGCCACAATTTACTTGGCGCTATAATTATGCTTGATTTAAAACACTCGCATTTTTTATACCTTCTCAGTAAGAAGAGAAGCAGTAAGTAGCAGTCTATGTACGCCGAAGTGCTGAAAGCAAGGGCGTAGTTATTCAAACTTAGTTTAAGCAAAAGATTTCGGTTCTGAGAATTTTGAGTAACTTATCGTTATGTAAAAGTCATATGGATAATGAATAAAGAATCGTGAGAATTAGTTAGGAAAAATAAAATTATATGTTGAATCTACGGCCACATCAGAAGTTTTCTCTATTATGCATCTATAACGTTGCCATCTTGCCAAGTTGGTACAAGGATACGCGCAGAAAAGAATCATAGAGTTATCCAAGTTTTATATATATATATATATATATAATAATAATTTATTTACTAAAGAATATTGATTATATTATCTCCCAAGATTAATTTTAGTAGAACTATCTTAAAAGAGTTAATCCATACTTAGTAAGTTCAATTTCGAAAAATGTTTAAAATGTTTAATGGGGACTTGAATAAAATCATGAATAACAAAATTTCAATTGTAAAAAGAAATAAATTAAAAGTAAGTAATTAAATTAAATGCAAGTAATCATTGCCATTGATCGGAAATTAGTTGACTTTTCAAGGGAAGCAAACCAACGCCCGTTCAATGAACAATAATTAAGAAATAAATACGAAGGTGTTTCGTCCTTTACTCGAGCAATAAGGCGATGCCAAACCGGCAATTCAAGCTAGGCCAAACATTTCCGTGAATAGAAGGGATGAAGAACCAATGCAGAGAACCAAAAAACTCATTACGATAAAGCATTTTAGCTAATTCAATTTTGAGTGAAAAGCAATTTCTGCAGTAAAATTGATATCGCTCGAGTAACTGTCCCCCGCCACCCTCGTGTTTATGCATTTTAGTTCAAAACTATTTGTAAAAATTAAACATTGGAAATTGTCATTATGAAATAGAATTCAAAGTAATTGAAATAAACATAGAAAATTAATTACAAAATATAAGAAAATAATGCAATCTTTGTAAAAACAAATCAAAAAATAAAAAATAAATTAAAAATTATATATATATATATAATATAATAGAAAAGGGAATGTACATGAGGATATAAAGGCCAGAAATAGCATTATGCGGCCAGCCTTCGTCTGGCTTTTAAATGTACCGGAAAAATGCCTAAAAGACACACCTGGGCCGCGTAAGTTCTTCCAACTTTTTTCTCTTTGTTAAGATTCCAACCGTCCCTTGCATACGGCCCTTATGTATCTCTATAAAACATATACATCTTGAATTTTTAGCAAACTGATTGCATGAGATGTGCATTAAACATTTGTTAAAGCATAATTTATATCCCCCTTCTTAACCACCACCATAACTACATAAAAAATTATATAAAAATTCTACAATAAAATTAAAATTTTTTAAACAGTTTCTTACTCGATAGTTTGATGATTCTTTTTCTGAAATATTGAAATGCTATGATACTTTAGGAATCTTCTAATAAAATGTGTCAGCAGTCACATCGCAGCCATTTAACAGAACATAACATTTAAGATAGCACTTAGTAAAAAAAATTAACCAACTTTCCGTTCAAGAAAAAAAATCATGCAAAACTTTTCAATATCTTACAAATAGTGAAATAAGCAAAAAATAACATGAAAGAAACTCAAAAAACAAAAAATTCCGCGCAGAATTTTGCTCTGCAGAACAACTTTATCAAAAAAAATCAATAAAAATGTATTATATACATAAAAAAATGACAATGAAATAGGCCAATCTCTTAAAAACAGTGACATAAGAAGTACGATGAAAAATTGTTGCCAAACCCATATTTCTAAAAGAATGAAACTATTCAAAATGATGCGATTTCATCAAAAATCTATCAACAACAATAAGAAAGGAAAATTGTCGCCAAAATCGCATTTTTAAAGATGTGAGATGTGAGAAGCGTACTCGGAAGCTTCATTTAAATTTTTTTTAAAAAATACAAAATATTATCATTTTTCCAAAATTCTTTTGTAAAAGCAGTCGCAAGGATAAAAGTTTAACGTGTCCAAAAATCAAAGAAAAATAAACTGTACATAAAAAAAAAAAAAAAAAAAAAAAAACCTTTTTTAGAAAAAATCCCATTTGAAAGGTGTTAAGCTCTCTTTGTTAAATAAATTCGTATTTAATCGATTTATTGAAACACGAAATTTATTTTAAGTTCGTAAAATAGCTAAGTGCCTACGTTTCATGACGATGTGAAAATGGAGTGTGTAGAGTAAAATCTCGCTTTCTTATAGCCCATTATGTCTCAAAATGACGCGATTTCGTTACAAAACCTAAATTAAAAAAAAAAAAAAAAAAATTCGAATTCGAATTTCGAAAAAATCACTTCGAGGTGCACTGGCTCTTGTGTAGATGTACCTATGTACCAAATTTCATAGCCGTGGGTCTATTAGCTTACGCGCAGCGCGAACGAAAGACACACACACAGACAGATTCTTTCTTTTAGTATATGTGTATATATATATATATATAATAGTTCTGTTGTGTATATATGAAGTGGTTGTATCCAAAATGAACAACGAGAATTTCGCTGCCGTAGAATGCTGAAACGCCGATCCACAAGGAATAAGAAATTTGGCAGTCAAGGTATATTTAACTTTTATTTCAGTAAACATGTTGTGGCGGTAATCCAGTTGACACATTAATTGTGCCTATTCCAAGAAGCTTACATTTTCGATAACTTTGTAGCAAGAAAGAAGCAGCAGGTAGACAGCAGTCCAGCTAGGCCAAAGCGTTGAAAGCAAGTGTGCTATGTTCAGAGTGAAATCTTAATTCA